TATTCATACTAATAAACAAAATGTTTCAAAATGTCCTTTGTTTAACTTTTGTCTGAAAATATTTTATTTTTTTTAATCACGAAAGTAAGTAGAAAAATAAAAATGTATGCACTTTCCAAAAATTAAAATTTATTTTTATTGCAATTCCATTTTCGGTCCCCTTTTTTTGTGGGGTCTCTAGCCCGTGGTCTAGAGACTTTTAACTTTTTTTAAGCGACTTTTCATCATTTTTAACTTTTACATTAATCTATAAGCGATAAGATAAAAAAAATAAATAATTTTACAAAAAGTCACATTAATTTGAATGATGTTTATGTAAAAATATTTGTTACAAAATTTTGAATGACAATTATTTTTGATATAAGGGCTATTTACTAATGAAAAAAACTCAAATAAAATTAAAAGTTTATTTTTATTTTGTTTTTAATTTATTGAAATGATTGATTTTTAAGCTTGAAACATAGATCATAAAAATATAATTTAATTCTGATAAAAAATATATGATTTAATTTAAAACTAATTAATAAAATTATATAGTTTTATTCTAATAAAAAATATATATAAGTTAATTTTGATTTTAAGTAAATTTGATTAAGTGGTAAACAGATTCTATCTGTTGACCAACCTCGCACTGTTTCTTCATCTATTAGGCTGGGGCAGATGTATTTTTAATACATTGTTTTTTTGTTTAGGATGCTGAATGCTAGATCTTCTTGAATCAAGGCATGGGTTTTGTGTCTCTGTTTTTATGACTAGGCAATTCATTCTATCATCTCCTAATGAAGGTACAGCTCTAAAACTCAGTTTTATGGTTCTGAGACCGGCTAGTAGTCAGATTTCCCAAACTCTGTAGTAGCTCTCAGATGGGCTGATTCCATCAACAATTGAAAAATATCAGAGTATTAACAGTGCCATAATGCGCATAGATGGTGTCCCTGTTCATACTTTTTGTGTGCATTGTCGAGGCCACATTTGGAGTCCTTTGTTACGACTTAAGGTTTATTAATAGTAATAAGGCAATTGCTTGTGCGGTTAAACAGTGTACTATCTATGCTTTGAATCAAGTTCTTTAACAAATTTAAAAATGACTAAAGTACTAAAAACTATAAAACGCAAAAAACCATAATCATCACCAAGTTCTCTAAGTCTATCATTCACTAATATTCATGGTCTTTGAAGTAACTTTACTTCTATTGAGTCTTATCTCTTGCAAAGTTCACCAAACCTACTTGCTCTTTGTGAGATTAATTTGATTTCGGCTGCCTCATCTTGTGATCTTAGTGTTAATGGTTATCTTCCTTTAATTCTTAAAGACTCCAATAGTCACATTCTTGGCCTGGGCATTTACATTTGTAAAAATTCATCTATTTGTTGGTAAACTAGGTTTGAATCCGCACATTATTCTTTTATAAGCTCTCGTATAGCACCACTTCACTCTATCGCCTTTCTCTTTGTTCTATATTGCTCTCCATCTCAAGACTTCACTCTTTTCAATGTTTTTTCTGACCGAATTGACCAAGCCCTCTCTCTTTATCCATCAGCCAATACCGTTTTTGTTAGTGACTTTCATGCTCATCATTCTGAATGGCTTGGCTCTAGTGTTAGTGACTCTGCAGGCGTTAATATCCACAACTTTTGCCTTTTTCAATCTACAACTCAAATAATCAATTTTCCAACTCGCTTTCCAGACAACCTGAATTATTTACCTTCTCTACTCAACTTATGTCTTGTTTCTGATCCTAATCAGTGCTCAATTTCTCCACATGTACTGTTAGGTGCTTCTTATCACAGTTTGATCTTTATAAAACTATTATCTCATTCTTCTTCATTATCAGAATCCCCCTATCATCTTACCTTCTACAACTACCTTAAAGCTGACTGAGACTCTTCGTGATTATCTTCAGGATGGTCCTAATGTAAAAATCTTTCATCTTCCTGCTGACAAATGTGTTTTTTACATAACTTCATGGATTCAGACTGGCATGGAATTTTTTATTTCCTCTCTACAATTTCAGGTCAAGCCTCACTCTTCTCCATGGTTTTCTTTACATTGTGCTGTTGCAATTTCCAATCGAAACCGTTACTTCCATATCTATCAGCAAAACAATTCTCTAGAAAACAGACATCTGTTTACTACTAATAGAAAACATTGTAAAAAGGTTTCGTCTAACTCCAAAGCCTGGTTTTCTCAGGTCATGAAATTTCATATTTCATCTCAAAATTTAGGCTCTTTTGACTTCTGGAGAATCTTTAACAGTATCAATAAAAAGGGTAAATCTGTTATTCCACCACTCTTGTATGGCTCTGAATTTGTCTCCTCACCTAAAGACAAAGCTGAATTGTTTGATAAGAACTTTTCATCAATATCATCTATTGATTACTCTAGCTGCGTTCTACCAGATTTAGCCGTCAAACAGGTTGATCCATTGCTTGACATTCGTATCACTCCAGCTTCTGTCTTAAAGTAATTTTCTGCTTAGGCTCTTCTACAGCTTGTGTTCTGGACAACATACCTGTTATAGTCTTGCAGAAGTCTTCTCTCAGAAGCTGTCATCTATACTTTCAAAACTATTTAACAAGTGCTTATCAGAATCTTATTTTCCAGCCTGCTGGAAAGCGACATCTGTTATCCCTATTTTCAAAAATTCTGGAGAGATATCTGAATCGTCTAACTACCGTCCAATTAGTCTTCTTTCTATTATAAGAAAGGTTTTTGATTGTTTAATTAAGAAATACTTAATCTTGAATCTAATAACTTTCTGATCACCGATATGGGTTTCAATCTTATTGTTCTACAGCTGTTTTGCTAACAGAAATAACCGATAGGTTTTATTGTGCATTAGATAAAGGTGGAGAGGTTAAGGCTATCACTCTTGACATTTTTAAAGCTTTTGACAAAGTTTGGCATGCTGGTCTTCTCCATTAGCTTTCTTCTTACCGTGTATCTGGTAACATCTTTAAGATTGTTGACTCCTTTCTTTTCAATTGTAGCATAAAAGTTGTCCTTGATGGACAGCACTCCTCATTATATCCATAACTTCAGGGATTCCTCAAATTCCTCAAAAAATCCTTGGCCCTATATTTTCAATTTATATTAACGATCTTCCAGATATTCTCACATCTAGGGTGACATTGTTTGCTGATGACACTACCATTTCTTGTCATGATAAGAAGCCAACATTCTCTGATTGCTTGGAGGAAGAATTTGAGTTTGAAAAAGATCTCACTTGTGCTACAGCATGGGGCTCACAGCGGCTGTTGAACATAAAACCCAATTTTTTTCAACCAATCGTTATTGCAATAATTCAGATCTTCCTATATTTATGAATGGTATTTCAGCACTTGATGAGTTATCTACCCTTCCTCTTCTAGGATCAACTCGATCTTTCTTGGAAACCATATATCAATTGCAAAATTAGCATCTGCTAAGGTTTCATCTCTTTATCGTGCTCGACACTTTCTTCTTCCAGATTCTATTCTTTATCTCTATAAATCTCAAATCTGTCCTTGTATGGAATACTGTTTCCATATTTGGGTATGATCTTCTAATGATGCCCTGTAAACATAGTTGGACTTGCACTTGCAGCCAACCTCCAACCATTATCACATCGTAGTAATATTGCTTCTCTTTCTCTTTTTTACAAATACTATAATGGGCACTGCTCTAAAGAAATAGTTCTCTTGCATATCTACTCAAATTTATTCTCTTGTTACTCGTCATTCAATTAAGTCTCATCCTTCTTCTGTGGCTATTCTTAAGTGCTCCAAAAACTCATATTTCTTTAGTTTTTTTCCTCAAACATCAATTTTTTGGAATTCGCTACCTTTATCTTGCTTCCCTGATACATATAACTTGGAATCTTTTAAGTTGTCTGTCAATCTTTATTATGCTCTACAACCTCTTGTAGAGATTGTAGAGCAAGATAAAGATTAAATTTTTATTTATACTGGAGGAGAAAAGTAAATTAATTGCTAAATGATTTTAAAATGTTCCTGCGGTCAAAGGAACTCGCTAATTATATAAAAGAACTTATCATTATTTCTCACCTTCATCATGTTGTTTAAAAGTTTATGTATCATTAATGACCAGTAAATTCGAATATTTTTTTACATGCCGAAAGATACTTGCTTACACAAAAGTCACTAAATATTTACATTTTTATTTATTCAATTGCTGATTGGTATCCAGTTAGTGTTATTATCGCTACATTACATGGTCCTCAGCTGAAAAACACAATACACTTTTACTTATATCTTATTAAAAAAAAAAGAATAAGTAAATAATCATACATTATTGTCTTTAATTATCAATTATAAAGTAAAAACCAAACCTAATAATAAAAGTTTTTTAACAAGTTTTGACTTTTTTTTTCTTTTATACCCTTTATATATTATGGAAGTTTTTTAAAAAACTATTTAACATTATTTTAGATGATATCAATAGTTTTTGACTTTGAAGTATAGTACTCCTTAATTGTGTAAATTATGTTCAAAGTATCACATTCAAACACTAATGAAGGTCTCCAATTAGTTAATGTTTTTTATTTGTGCCTCTACAAAAACCAGATCAATGAGGGGGTATCTAACCATATCTTTCTTTTTGTTAAGAAATAACTTATAATTGGTCGCACCCTTCAAACAGGCTAGTAAGCAGTAGCATTTGATAAGTTTAAAATCCATTTCATTCATTTTTAAAGTTTAAAATCATTAATCGTAGTATAACAATTCAGTAATGTTAAATTGTTATGTGAAAGTTTTTTTATATAATTATTTTTTCTGTTAAGTTATTTAAACCAAGTGTTATAAATATTTATTTTTTTATCTTTTGATAGAATGAAAACAGTGTTTCATTTTAATATTATAAACTAAGAATATTACAATTTTCTTGTTCATTTTTACCCCAAAAAATTTTATTACTCCCCAATTATTATTATTAATTTTTTGAAATTTTATATTCATCAAAAATATGATATACGCTATTATACAATGCCATCTTTTAGCCAAATCAAACTACCATTCTTATGACACAACAACCAGGGATTATGACAGGTGCGATTTATGTAGGACCACCTCCAGATAATCACAGTGCACTTGCATGGTTAACTTGTTTGTTTTGCTGTTGGCCACTGGGCATTGTTTCGATAATAAAGTCCATGGAGGTTAATCATACTTTTTTTGTTAAAATATGAAAAATTTAAGAACAATATTTTTTTTGAAGTTTGTTTTTATTTTGAATTTTCTTCTTTTAATTTAAAAATCAACTGTACTTTAGGTCAACACTGCTATTGGGCTAGGAGATACAATGAGGGCTCGAATAGCTTCTGAATCTGCAAGAAAATTTGGCTATGCTTCTTTGGGTTGTGGGATTTTTCTCCATGCTATATGGATAATCATTTTAATTATCTATCTAGCTGTAATAATTCCTTCTATCAGAAGTTATAGTAATAATTGGAATAACATGGGTTAACTTGTTGGTGTGGTAACTTTCTGAGAAAACTTTAAAATTTAAAACCTTTTTTAAAACCAAATCTTTCTGTGTTTACATTAAATTTACTATACATTTTATTTTAATAGTTTTGTAACGTTTTGAAGAATTAAAAGTAACCAATTCTATGAAAATAATCTGTGAAATTTTATTACGTTATAAACAATTAAAAGTAACTGAATCTATGAAAATATTGAAACCGAAATAAAAAATTTTTCAAAGCAATTATCAGCTTTTATATTTACTGCTAATTATTTTAATTGTTTTACTTTTGAATGTTTGAAATATTATACGGAAGGAAACTATTTTAATTATATAATGTAAAGTAATATATTACATATGGTGATTTTAAATGTATTATATATAAATATGTGATATTAGTTGATTTTGAATTTAAATTATTTGAACCTAAGATAGATTTTAAATAATGTTTAATATAATAATTTTATTTTTTTGTAATTTTGATATATGCTTTAAAAATGCTGTTGGTTGTAATGTTGTCATTAACGTAATTTCAATGTGAGTTTTTATCAGAATTAATAAGAAATTATTAAAATTTTTATGAAAGCTGATATTGTGCGACAATATGCAATATTTCACGTCTACGAGAAGAATATGTAACATTAGATGTCTAAACCTTTAACTTAGTGGAAATGTTTTTTCTTTTTTTTTTTTTTTTGTGAGCAAACACATTAACTGTGACGAAAATCGATTTGTTGGTAAATTTATTTACTCAAACTTAAATTTTTAAACTATTTTCAAGCCTAAGTTTAGGTTAGTAAATGTTTTTTAGTTTAATTTAGGGTTTTTTTTTGTATACCTTCATATTAAATTTACTATCAAAAATATGTATCTTCCAATTATTTTTAATGTTATATCGAGTTTGAAGTTATTTATGTTGAATTCATATCGACAATAATGTTTAGTTTATCAAAATATATAATATTTTATATTATATATTTTACTGAATCTGTCATATTTTGTATATGAAATAATTATTTTATATGTAAAGTAAAAATAATAGATATAATTATGTTAAATATAAACTTTATAAAATTTGTAATGGTTTTTTTATTGTTTATGTTTTTTTAATTAGGTTTGAAGAATTCAAATGGCAAATAGTATTAATTATGCAAGAATTTTAAACTGCTTGAATTGTTATTTCACAAAAAGGTTATTCAACACTTCATCTAACCTTGAAAGGCTTCGTTCAGAGTGGAGGAGAAATAGGGCTCCATCTAACACAAAGCTTGGCACTGAAAATATTACCGAAGTAAGAAAGGCTTATGGAGGATTTAAAAAGTGGAAAGCTGTCACAGTGAAGAGTGGTAAATATAGTTTAACATCTCAAAATATAGATCCTGAGGAGCTGCAACTTGTAGATATTGCTCATTGTTCTCAAGCTTATGAGGAGAAAGTTATAACATTGCACACGTATGTTATTGTAGATGTCAACCCTTTAAAAGATAAAATTAATATTGAAAAGCTGACCTTAAGTGATTCCACCTACATACATATTAAAGAGTTGTTTGAATCGGGCAAACTTTATGCAAAAGTTACTACAAAACCAGGGCAGGTTGGATTGTGTGATGGCTACATCGTAGAAGGGTTGGAATTAGATAATTTAGTTAATAAGATCAAAAATTATCGATCTGTATTACAATAGTTTATAGGAAATTACATTTATAAATTGTTTGTTGTCATTTGAAACGAAAATCTTTTAAATGATTCGTTATTATTTTATAATATATAATATAATATTAACAACTTTAGATAATGTAAATGTTACGTTCAAAAAAACTTACGCTCAAAAAAACTTATAAAAAATATTACGCGCAGATTTTGAAGCTGTCTGGTTCTAATCTATACAATAATAATATGAATCAATATAATATTTAAGTTTAAAAAAATATAAATTCTTTTTTTTTAATTAATGTATTTAAAAATACTTTTTTGGTATAAATTTTTATAAGCTTTGCAATTTAAATATTTCGCTTTTATACAATAAAACAAATTATTTTCTTTAAAATCATGTTAATGAAACGTCAAGTTGTTTTGACAAAGACTTGACGTTTCACAAATATGATTTCATCTGTATCTGTATTTCTAAATAATATACGTAGAAATCATGAAATTATTTTATTAAAGAAGGGGAATTAATTCCCTTGCTATCTTTCCCTTTAATTAGAAATTACCTGATTTCTTTTTTTTGACTATATAATTTTATACTACTTGCATCTGTTGTATATTTTTTTCAAATGGTTTTTTACACGTAATCATGGTACATTTTACTACATCATAAATATATAGAAGAGTGGAAAAAGATCGGGAAGTGGGATAAACAGAATGTCCATTTAAAATCAAATATAGTGAGCAAAAGTATAGTAACTCGGACCCGAGATAAGTCGGACGGATTTTCAATTAAACTTTCTCTATCAACTTACTATAAAATCATCTACTTATGTCGTACCCAGCTTATGTCGGATTCACTAACTGTACTGTTTTTTGGGGTCTTTTTGGAAAATAACTTTGCTTAACTAGGACTTTTTTAAATTGCATCTAAGTGCATATAATAACAGAATATCCAATACGTCAATAAAAATTCGAAACCTTAATTACATATATATATGTATATATATAATTTTGTTTTATAATGTTGTCAAAGAATTCATAACAATCTCAATATTTTTTGAACGTGGAGTCAGAAGTTTCCATAAGTTGTTCAAAAAAATGTTTGAAACAATATTTCCATGGTGACGCTGTATTTCAAAGTTGTAAAACTCTAAAATCATCATTAGAATACCCCTTAAAGATACTATGCATACCCTGTCCTTAAATGCATTAAAAACTAATAAAGAATATCAGTGGGAATATTAAGTCCACTACGGTCAATTGAGTCTATGTATTGTCCATACTTTTGGTGGTAAAAAATGGCTTTATCTAGCAATTCACTTTGTGTTAGCTCTTTATCTTTACGAGATAAATACCCTCTTATATGTTAGAGCCGTATCTGTATCATGAGAAATAAAAATTCATTATCTGCTAGATTATTAAATATCTCAGCAGAAGGCTTACCCATCAGAAACCAGAATTTGGACAAGAATCAGTTGTAACAAGACTTTTATCAACAGCTGGGTTATTAAGTGTTTGCAAAAGCTTAGTTCTTGTAATATTCAACTTTTCAATTGTTTTTAAATGTAACATATTTCATAACAATACTTGTTGCATTGTTATGAAATATGTCACTTATGCTAAATTCTTTTTTTAAATAAATCAGTAGAAAACACACTAAGAATGACATGATGTGAGCTATCCAATAATGATTTATATTGTTCAACAACACTATTGCATGTGTGGTAAATTTTTATTTACTTTTTATTTTTTGTTGTTGTTCTTTTATCAAAATTTTACAAATACGTGATCATAATTTAAACTGATTCGTTTACAATGTATAAAATAAAATATCGTACATATAATAGGAACTTTTTTCAGTACAAATATTAAACTTCGCACAAATAATAAATATAAAAAAGTAACGCTGTTAAAAGAACGCGGGAAACTTGTAGAAGACCATGTGGTCTTGTCATCAAGAAACCGCTTTTAGTTGCAATATTTTTGTATACTTAATTTGTTAAAAAATTTCAGTTTAGCAAAGTCTCTTTAGTGGCATAAGAGTCACTTATAAAAAACTATTTGATACACATAGTTATATGACTTGTTATACTTAATATATTGACAGACATGTACAAAATATAAATAAAATCTAATATACACTATGCTTTGATGTTAATTCTTAAGTTTTGAATGTGTTTTTTTGAATTTGAATTAAATTGAAAAAATTAACTGTGCTGGGTCACAAGTAAGTTGTCTCTCCCTTTTACCTTTTTTTCCAGCCATCTTAAAAACCATGTTTCCAAAATTTAAAATATTTAATCTAATCTATTATCATTAGGATCTCTAATTACTGTTTGAAGTTCATCATTGAATCTAATATCAGCACCTGTTCCCTTAACATTGAGAACTTAGATGATTAAGGTAAGTTTTTATACAAAACAGCCTTACACAGTTACAAAATGACTGCCTCTCAATTGGCTTTGGAAATATTAAAACTTCATTTAAGTTGGATAATTTAACTAAATCTATATACTTTATATATTCTTTTATCGTAAAAAATAAGTTGACCAGTTTTTTCAGTATACCAATTATTTCTAATGTTTTTAACCAAATGAACGTAATCAAAGATTAAGAAAATACCATCATTAGTCAACCAGAGTTTATCTGAAGCTGATCTTTCAAAGATTTAAAGAAAAGGCCTGATTCTATTTCCATCGCATATATAGCTTTAACTTGACCCGAAGACTCCTTTATTGATTGGATAGTTGCCAATTTGTTCAAAAAGAAATTGAGACTTTAATTTAAACATAGATATCATTTTGGAAATGAACGATAGTCCACCAAATAAGCAATTAAACATTAGACCCAATATAGTTTTTGCAAGAGAAGTTGAGTTGTCGATTGCTTTTCCGAATAATATACCACCATGGTTTAACAACATTTTTAAAAACATAAACCTCGTAATGCAATAAAAAACAAAGTTTCTGTTTTTTTTTTCAACAGATTGAAAATATTAGTCAAAAAAACCTTTAAAGTTATTCTTATCAATGTTCTTACAGAAGACATTTGGCAATATGTTCGCAATTGATTATACAAACTTCTGGATGTAGCAAAATACTGAAAAGATCTAATAATAACCTCCTTAGAATAAATCTTACTACTAACACACTGTGTACCAAAATCTTACCACTAACACACTATGAAGCATAATATTCCTAAATTACAATTTTTTTTCCTCCAGGAATTAAATTCTTCAAATAACGTAAAACTTTTTCTAATATGGACCGTGTGTTGATTTTTGAAATTCTGTTTTTAGAAGTTGTAGGAACTTTATTTTCTGGCACTATAATAATAAGTTTCAAAATGCAAACCTTCACTAATCTTGATTAAAAAATATGGAACTTTATTTTAATAAACTTGTGATTGTAAATGGATAATGTTAGTAATTATAAAGCATACTAATTGCAGAACCGGATCCAGGATATTTTGGTGCTTGAGTTAAATAACTTTCAGGTAAGTTATTATATAATTATGATTAGAGCCTAGGAATAAAAAACCCTACTTTTTAGGGTTTTTTATTCCTAGGCTCTAATCAGCATAATTTTTGATTTGCCAAAAATTGTGCTGATTAGAGCCTAGGAATAAAAAACCCTAAAAAGTAAGCATCAAATGTGGGGGGAATCGGTTTTTCTAAATATAAATTCTAATATCCTAAATTAGGTGATTATATCATTAAGGTTCTAAATTTTTTTTGAAAAAAATGATGTTATTTAGAAATTATACCCAGTTTAAATTTACAATCCCTCGTTTTGAGGGGGTTCTAAACTTTAAATGGCTGCAACTTTTGAACGCTAAATGATTATTTGATCAAACATTAAATATAGATACACATTTGGAATTTATTAAAGGAAGTAACTTTTTTTCTTTCGAAAAATTATTTCCCGTCTCATTTGGGCGGTTGATGCCTACTATTTAGGGTACTTTTGTTCCCAGGCTCTAATCAAAGCAATTTTCGGTGATTAATCACCTTTAAATGACTAAAAAGGTGATTAATCACCTTTAAATGACTAAAGTTTGAAAATAAAAAAATTTAGAGTTTAGAACTTACCTGGAAGTTATATAACTCAAATACCAAAAAATCCTGGATCCACCCCTGAATTGAACGGGACGACTGAATAAGCGCGAATTTCATAAGTGCAAACTAGAATAACGCAAGTGCGAACTGGTATAAGTGCGAATTGGCATAAGTGTGAACTGGCATAAATGCGAAACAGTTACAAAAACTGGCACAAGTGCGAACCTGCATATGTGCGAATTGGCATATTTCGAAGCAGTTTTAAAAACTGGCATAAGTGCAAATTGGCATAAGTGCGCCGAACAAATTTGCAAACATTGGCATAAGTGCAAATTGGCATAAGTGCGACCTGGCATAAGTGCAAAATACTAATTTGTTTTTATGCCAATATTTGAATTTTTATTCAGCGCACTTATGTTAATTCGCACTTATGCTAGTTTGCACATAGGCCAGTTTTTGTAACTGCTTCGCACTTATGCCAATTCGCACTTATGCGAATATTTGCTAATTTATTCGGTGCACTTATGCCAATTCGCAGTTGTGCTAGTTTGCACTTATGCCAGTTTTTGTAACTGCTTCGCACTTATGCCGGTTCGCCCTTATGCCAATTCGCAATTATGCCAATGTTTTCAAAATCTTTTGGTGCACTTATGCCAATTCGCACATATGCCAGTTCGCACTTCTGCCAGTTTTTGCAGCGCTTCGCACTTATGCCAGTGCGCACATATGCCAATTCGCGCTTATGCAGCCTCCCAAATTGAACACCTAAATCTATTTCATTAATTAAAAGAATTTTTTTTATTTCATTAAAAGTTACTCTAGCTTTTTCTAAAAAAGTTGATAGTTCATCTTGAGCGAAATTTTGAAAACACGAAGAAACACAAGTTGATGAACGTAATTGAAAAAGATGGGTGGAAATTTGACAAGACGGTATGCCAGGCCAAACAGATGGTGGAAAATTAGGACGTTATTTTTCTCTAACTGTTTGTTTTTCGAAATTTATCGGCCAATTGGCCGATAAATTACATTGGACAATCCAACTCACAAACTACAGTGTTTTTAGCTACTTTCAAATTTGCATTTGAAATTACTTAAATCTACATTTGTTTTTTCATATTCATTTTTAGGAAACCGATATACTGAGAGCTTTAAAGTCAGATTTTTTTTGCAAATAAATAATTTGTAGTGCAGTCATAAATGCAACATTTTTTACCAATATTTTAGTATCACTAAAATGGCAACTAAAGGTAAATTTAAAATAGGTCTCCAGTCAGATACGCGGTTGGTACGTTTGCAAGGCCTGCAGTATAGATCGCTGCGGGCTGTCCATAAAGTTTGTATGCTCATAGGGGGGAGAATGGTGTTCAAATAGCGTACAAAAGCGTATGGCGAGGGAGGGAGAATGAAATATAATAGTACGTACGCATTAATCAAAATAAAAAATCCTTGATTATGTTTGTTTTTCTAATTCCTTGATAATGTTTGTTTTTCTATCACAATTTCCCAGTGGGCACCCGACGTCAATCCGACGTCGGATTTACGTTTGATTTTCATCAGCGACGTCAAAAGACCTATTCCGACGTTGTTCCGATGTCAGTAAAATGACGTCGGGCGATGTCTTTATCTCAACATCCACTGACGTCGTTTCGATGTATTTTGACGTTGTTCCAACATCTTATAAAAGACGTCCAAAAAACGTCGCAGTACTGACATCGATCCAACGTCGATAAAAAGACGTCGGGCAACGTCATAGTATTAACGTACTCCGATGTCTTTTGACGTCTTCCGACGTCAATCCAACGTCCTTAAAACGACGTCGGAACAACGTCGTAAGACATCGCTGATGAAAATTTAATCCTAACCCAACAATATGTGTGCAATTGCACTCTTCAATAATTATGTGAACTAAGCGTGTTTTTTTATTAATGGAAAAAAGTTTGAATAAAGGTTGATAAAACATCATGAGGTTTTGTATGATGCACTAGCATAGTTTTTTAACTATTAACATTTTCGAGTATACATTTTTTATAATATATAACTATTCGTTTTAATATTTATATAATATTTAAACAAAATTATTTCTTATCAAAGTAATAATTCCCAAATAGCTACAAGTATAAATTACTAAATAAAAGCATTATTTAATGTGTCCTTGTGGTGTCGTGGTAAGCGCATAGGATTTAGTATCTAATAGACCGAGGTTCGATTCCTGCCTAAGGCAATGTTTTTAGCTTTCAAAAAACACGTTGGATTTACATCGGAATGCCGACGTCGCGCGATGTCAGTTTATCCGACGTCAAATAACATTTCCATTTCCAACGTAAACCCAACGTCGATCCGACGTCGAGATCCGACGTCGCTCGACGTTCGTTCGACGTCGAAATGCCCACTGGGTTATCAACAAAAACTTATTAAAAAATAAATGTTTTTGAACAAATAAAACTTTTTTAAGAATAAATAAAACTATACTACAGAAATTTTTTTGCCTTAAAAACTTCCATAGCTTTATTTTATAACTATATCTTATAAATTTCGTTACTTTTATAACTATATTTTTACTTATCTTATTTATAAACTTAAAGACCTATATAGCTCTTATTACTTATATAAAGTTAAAAAGTTATAACGTAATTTTAATTCAAAGAAACAATTAGACAAGATCTAAAAGTTCAATGTTCGTTTACTCAGACTAAATCTAAACGGCTTATATACGTTAATTAGACTAGATTTAAACCTAAATTAGACAAAATCTAAACGCTTTATATACGCATAATGATCCTTTAATAGACGTCTAAAATACGTTTGAATATAGACGTTTTATGGATGTTTGTTCTAAACATTAATCTGGATTTCATTCTTAACGGATAACCAACCAAATCTGAACGTTTTGTCAAAAGCTTGTTTTGACGTTTAATAGACGTTTTTGTGCTTACTGGGATGCATTTTGGTTGACTATTATCAAATAGTCAACCAAAACGCTAGTTGATCACATCCTAGTAAAATAAAACTCTATAGAAAATCTATATATTAATTAACATTAAAATGATCACAAAATTAAGTAGAGTTATTTTTATGCTATTTCATATTTTATTATTTAGCATTTAAGTCCAATAATTTATACAAACTGAAATTTTTAGATTATTTATATAATAAAGTCAAAAACCGTCCCTCAAGATTTGCGTAAAAAATTATAAATATTAACATTTTTTATTTTGGCGTTTGCATTATTTAAAAACTATTGTTTTGCAAACGAATTATTTCAGCAGATTTCAAATAAACATTATCACTGTTTTATTATTCTTATCCAAGAAGTGATAAAAAATATATTTGTAAAAGAAAAGATATTATAGAAATAAGTAACATTATCCATGTTACTTTAGTAACATTATCCATGTTACTATAGTAAGTAACATTATCCATGTTACTATAACCGATTCTTAGATTCTTAGAAAATGGTTCTTAGAAATCATCCGAATGAAGTTAAATCTATCGTGAAAAGTATAAATTAACTTTAATAACAAAGTGTTGGGTGTCGTCCCAACAATTTATTATTAAAGTTATTTATAAAATATTTTATAAAATTAATTATTCATTTTTATTAAAAAGTTTTCACATATATCAATCTTTTTGAAACTCCCCGGTGGGAAATGAGCTAGCGACTAGCTAGCTTTATAGCGACTTTCAAGCGATTTTTTTTTTCTTATTTTATTCTTTACTAATGTCTCTAACATCTTTAAAAATTCAATTTTTAGTGTTGAGTCTATTATAATTATGAGAATAATTGAACTTTAAACATTGCGATTTTGTAGCAATGTGTCGCTAGCTACATAACGTAGCTTTGTAGCTAGCTACAAAATATCTACATATCTATAGCTGGTTGATAGCTACATACCAAAATTTTTTTGATAGTGGTTTTATTACGATATGACGGTAGCTTCAATAGCCTGTTAGTCTTTTGCTTGTTAAGCTAGCTGTCCTCGTAGTCAAATCGCTGTCTTTATCTTTACAAATATCGATAGCTTTTTGCAAACTTAAAAAAGCTAGCGATCCTCTTAGCCAAATCGTTGTCTTTATCGTAACGATTATAGCTAGCTATTCGTTAGCCAATTTCCCACTGGGTGCAAAAGGGTTTCAAAAAAATTGATATATGTGAAAAATTTCCGAGAAACAATTACACTTTATAAAAATATTTTTACCTTTTTAATATTTAATATTTATAACAACTTTCAACTAGGTAATTGAGATTATTAACAAACCAAAAAAGAGTATTGGACACATTTTCTACGACAAACAATAAAAGTTTTCAATGTCTCGTCTGGTTTTTAATATATTCGAAAATCACATATATTTAGATTATTAGTTACAAATACTTTAATTGAACAATTATTTTGTGATAATGCAATAATTCTATTATTAAAATTGAATATAACTTTATATTTTGTTTACTATTTATTCTCAGAGGAATATTATTTCGTTGAAAAGCTGGGATCAATACACAATTAAAATTTTCCTGTATAGAGCTATGAGCAAAATTTCTTTTTCCGCTCAACATTTGATCACTCATGGTAACGAAGGAAAGGGAAGCACCTCGTACATATCTATAAAATTTATGAAGAGTTTATCCACTTGATAGCAAAGTTTTGGAACTTGCAGTTTAAATGATCATCCCTAAAGTATAATTTTATTGTATATGTTTTTTTTATCAAATTCAAACACAATTTGTTTCTTTGCAAAATTGAATGTGCAAAATATTTCTTAATCATCGTTGATTCTAATTCTATTGTATCGCTTAGCAGCTAACTCTTATTTGTTTAGTGTTGACTACAAAATTTTTTTGAAAAGTTTCTTAACTTTTATCACAAAATACAACTGTTGAAGTAATTTTTTTCAAATTATTTTGGCATGGCAAAATGTGATGATTGCAAGACGATTGTTGGCAAAATGTAATGGCAACCCCTTCCCCCACTCCACGTGACACCTACTCGCGCCGGCCCTGGTAGCAGAAGACCTAAATTAAAGATTAAAAGAACAATGGGACTAGAAAATCCACATGAAATTAAAAAATATTTTGTTTGAATGAAAAAATATTACTAGAATATAAACGGAAAAAGGTTTTTAAAAACCTTATGATTTTTAGGAGAAAAAATTGATATTTTTATAAAATTATAGGGGTCCATTTATTTTTGTGAAAATATTTTGTTTAATAAAAAATAAGTAAAAATATTTTTCATTGATCTTTTTTAGCTTTAATAAGTTATTACCTAATTTTAGTAAAATTGCCTCTAGAAGCATTTTTTCAAAGAAACTTCAATGGGACGTCAGAGCTCTGACGTCCAATTGACGTTTCTTTGACGAGGACAGAAAAATAAGCGTAATAATTTATTACGTCAACATACAAAATGATCTACAAAAAAAAAAAAAAAAAAAAATTAGATTCTTTAAGAACATACAACGAATATTTTTTAATAGCAGCAAGAATTTCCTTATTATATAAAGTAAAAAAAAATGCTTTAATTGTACTTATGCTTTAGTTGTATAATATATATATATATATATATATATATATATATATATATATATATATATATATATATATATATATGTATATATATATATATATATATATATATATATATATATATATATATATATATATATATATATATGTATATATATATATATATATATATATATATATATATATATATATATATATATATATATATATATATATATATATATATATATATATATATATATATATATATATATATATATATATATATATATATATATATGAATTTGTATTATTTGTATTAGATTTTTTTTTAAACAGTAAAAAGTTCTCAGTTAAACATTCAAAAGAAACTGTAAACAGATCTGAAATGGAAAAAGGTAATGAGTAAAACTTTAATTTTACAATAACCTTTTAAAGTAAAAGATGATTTTCAGATTTTAAAAAAGGACCACCTATAAGTGATATTGTCTTGGTCTGATTTATCATTTTTTTAAATGAATAATATTATTCTTTCAAATAAGTTTTTTTTTGGTGTATAAAGTTATTTATTTAAACAATTCCTAATCTAGGCAGTATTTATTTAAACAATTGTTTGTTTAAATAATTTCTAAACAAGTCAAAATTAGCTATATAGTAGTTTTAAGTAGTAAAAAATTAGTTTAAATTAATTGTTACCTGTTTTTAAAAAGTGATCTTGTGTTTTCATTTAACCAGCTTATAAACAATGCTCTATTTACAAATTAGTTTTTAAAAATCATACAGAGTGGTTTAGTTAACCTGTCATCACATTACTTAAAAAAATTGAATAAAGTTATCCATAACTGCAGACTTTTCAACATTTAAGTTAATCCAAAATTTTTTTGGATTAAGTTAATTTCCAAAATTTCCCTTATTGATACTCAGTTTGATGATGCTTTCGAAATTATTATGTGCTTGATAATAAAAACTAAAAGCATGGCGACTATTCCTTTTATTTCTTATGGGATCTAGTACCTAGTATGTATGTACCTAGTCAGACATACAAAAAAGAGAAGCTGTAAAACACTAAATCTAATATATTTATCAGGATTATGTCATTTAGTTGATATGTTAGTTGTTGTATCTAATAATATTCTTGAATACATTCCAGAAACTGTTGCTCTTTTTGTCCTATGCAATCACTTTCATAACTAAAATTCCATTCACTATTCACAAAGGATGAAAAATTAAAATCACCACATGCTAAAAGATCAGAATCTTTTTTAATTTTTAAAAAATATTTGTAACTTTTTAATAGAATTGATTATGTTTTGACAGTTTATCCAATCATTTCTCTCTGCTCTATTAATACAGCCTCATAGTATGTCCTTATTGCTAATTTCAATTTTACACCATATATTTATGTAAATGGCAATAATGATTTATTAGCGGGCAATAATTAAATCTATAATAAAAATGTTAAGCACATTTTTATTATAGATTTAATTATTGCCCGCTAATAAATCATTATTGCCATTTACATAAATACAAACTATACCACCTCTGGTACTTTTGTGATATGATAAAGAATATACTGAAGTATGATCCTTGCTAAAGTATAATCCCAACATGTTTCTGTAATAGAAGTTATATATGAAAAACTTTTTTAATGTTATTATTTGACTGCTCCTTAAACATAAAACCAGTTCATTGTCTCATTTAAATCACATTTCTCTAAACTCCTGTGTACATTATTTTATAATTCTTTTAATTTGCACACTCTATTTTTTATCTTTATGACTTTTAATACTTCCTTTTTTTATAATCTTCTCTTTTCTTATTTAAATCACATTTCATGACTTATCATTATCATACAAAGACTACTATTATTAGCAATCTTATTATTAGCACTTTATGCCTGTTTGTAACACCTTAACAGTGTCACACACATAACACTAAAGTTTATTATAAGTTTATTACAAGTTATATTGTTAATAATATATTGATGAAATTATAATTTTGTTTTTTAAACATATTAAAAAATTGATTACATTTTTATTAAGTTGGGCCACCTCCTGATTATTACTTAACAACAGATCACTCCAATCAAGCACAAAACCTTTCACAGAATCCTTCTCAAGTTCCTAGCTACTATCAAGGTCAACCAATACCTTATTATTCAAATCCACAAAATGTTACCTACCAAGTATCACCTGCTCCAGGAAACCAAGTACCACCTGCTCCAGGAAACCAAATACCTTACTATAATGTAAGTTATTTTGTAATGGGTAATTATGATTTTAATTTATTTTGCAGCAAAAAATTTCATTTTTTAAAATTTAAATACCACATTAAAACTTAATTAGTTTCTTTCAAATCTTCATAAATTTAGTTATTACAAGTTACAAATGCTTTACAAAGAACTATTACACTTTTACAAAGAATTACAACTGCTATTGCAAACTTTGTTTTATACACTCGCCAAAGTTTTTGCAGGCGTGTGGACAAGCACAAAAAGACTTTAGCGTGAAAGCGCTGGCTAAACGAAGAAGACTAATTTTTTTTTTTAAATCGCACAGGCTAACTTAAAATTGACCATATTGCTAGTGCTTTTTCGTGTGCTGGCATTAATTATTAAATGGAGAAGACTCTCTCTCTCTATATATATATTTATATATATATATATATATATATATATATATATATATATATATATATATATATATATATATATATATATATGTATATATATATATATATATATATATATATATATATATATATATATATATATATATATATATAAATAGATTTATAAATCTATCTATTCATGAAGTTATAATTTATTTGTAAATATTATAGTTAAAGAGCAAGATAGCAACATAAAAGATTATTTGAAAAAGTTAATACTTAATAGGCCGGGTGAATAAAAATAAGCAATTGCTTTTACTTAGTAATTGGTCAGCTTTACCTAAATAAAAACATCAGTAGTTTTACTCAAATTTTTTTTCACGTAAAGTTAAGCAATTTACTCAGTAATCAGTCAGCTTTACGTGAATAAAAACTTAAGCAAAATTGGTAAAGTTTTTATTCACGTAATGCTGACCAACTACTGAGTAAAAGCAATTGCTCATTTTTATTCACCTGGCCTAATATTAAAAATTAAAGTTTGCTTTATCTCCTTTGTTCCACAAAATTTATAAATTTCATGTTACACTATATATACTTAATTTAAATATAAACTTAAATATAAAATTAACTGTAGCCTCCCTCCTTCTATTTGTATCTGCCTATGGTTTTGCTAGTATATGTTTTTTATGGTACAACCACTATTGCACCTTGTTTAACTCTGTAAACTCAACATTCTGTATGGATTATACCTTCATATTTATTCATTGTAAACTTATCAAATATTGATGTCCACCTGGTTACTCTTGATATAGTCTGATCTATCATTAAATTTATGACCCTTGGAAAAACAGCCAACCACTTTGGACTTCAGTTAGATCATTATCTTTATGCCATCACAAATTACTTTATTTTCTTATCATTGTGTTTCTCCTCCATGTTTTGTCATGGGTACATATTCTATCATATCTATACATAGTCTATCGGTGCTGCAAACTTTGTTTTTTCTTCTGTTCTTAAAGATAAAAATAGTGGCATCTCTGGCTCCACTAATTATTGTCCAATTGCTTTAGTTACAATCAAGATTTCTCCAAGATTTTAGAACAAATTTTTATTTCACGTCTTAACTAAACTTTCAGTGGGACTCCTAATCAACTTGGTTTTAAGAAGAAACATAGCACTTTCCTATTTTGAAAGATGTTTAAAATTTTTACTTGTTTCATGGCTCAAGTATGCATGTAGAATTTATTAATTTTAATAAGACTTTCGATAGAGTTCGCTTTGATACATCATTTTTAAAACTCTTCAAAATTGTCTCTGGTATGACTTTACACTTGTATGTTTAACTAGGTGCATAGATACAGATACTAGATTCCTTACAAAGGTCATAACTCTTGGACTAGCTTACCTTCCAATACATTTACTATTGGTAATTTGTATTGGTAATATTATCTCCCTTGCTATTTAATTTATACATAAATGATCATAGTGTTCAACTTTATACAACTCCCATAGGATGCTGTTTGTTTCCTTCTCTCATAAATCATCTCTTTTATGCTGGTGGTATTTTCCTATGTTCACCCTCAGCCAAAGGTCTTCATAACCTACTTGATTGATGTTCTAGTTTTGCTCTGAAGGATAATATAACTTTTAGCCATAACAAGTCTCAATGTTATTTAAAACTTATTAACCCCAAGTTAAAAACCCTTGTTTTACATTAAAAAAAAAGGCGAGGTAAAAAACTGGTACTTTCATGATTATTCTTCATTTGATTACCTCTTGCTGGTTGATGACTTCTTGGCAAAATTTCATTAATTAAATTTTATTTTTCATTTCCATTTAACAACTTATACATTTGAATCAAGTCACCCGGAATCCGTTTAACAACAAAAGTAGTGAAACGCTCTTTATCTAATCTTTTCTCATAACATAGTTTTTTTATTTGGGATATCATTCTTGTAGCACGATGCTGTACCTTTTCTAAGAGATTAATTTCATTTTTAAGACATGGGACCTCACAGATACAGCGAACACAATTAACGGTCTTATAAAAGTTGTGTATATAATTTTTAGTAATTCACTAATTTAAAAATGTATTCCTTAACATACCTAAAATTTTATATGCTTTACTTGCACATAGAATTATTTGATTTTTCTATTTCAAGTAAATACAGAGGTAAATACTACACCAAAATCTTTTTTAGCGACAGTGGTACTTAAAGGTATATTTTGCATAAAATAAGTTCTTTTTAGGTTATTTTTACCAAAGTGCATTATCAAACATTTCTCAAAATCAAATTTTAATAGCCATTTGTTGGACCAGATGACAGCTTTATCTAGGTCATTTTGCAATAGATTAACACTTGCTTCACAATCAACCCTTGATAATACTTTTGCATCATGCATACATTTTCGAAATATTAACAAAATTCTCAGGCAAATCATTAATATAAATAATTAATAGTAAAGGGCCAATAACCGAGCCCTGCGACACACTACTAAATTTATCCTTCCAATATGAGATAATTTATCCCATGACAACTCTTTGTCTTCTATTTTTTAGAAATGCTTCAGCTGAAATCCCATAACATGGGATTTCAGCTTAAAGTTTTATCAGTAGTCTTTTATGGGGTATTGAATCAAATGCCTTTGCAAAGATTTGCATTTAGAAAATTCATAATTAAATCTCGCACAAACCCTTCTAGAATTTTATAAAGTACAGAAGTGAGTAAAATTGGACGATAATTCAAGAGCGACAGTTTACTTTCTTTTTTAAATTGAGGGCTAATATTGGCTGATTTCCACTGAACAGGTAGTTCACTAAGCACAATGGAAGCTTTAAATTTAATGGGCAAGCGGTAGTGCTATTCCATATGTGTAGTTGTTTAAAATTAAAGGTTTAATAAGATTTGCTCCACATGGCTTCTCTGTATTTAAATGTTCAAATCTAATTGTAGATTAACTTTGGATTTTTCTTAGCCAATATCACTAGGTTTTAAGTGTGTAAGGGTCAAGTAAGAGCCAGGTACATTAAGTTAGTTAGGTACATTATTTTACATAGAAATTGCATCTTTACCATACATTTTAAATATAATACTAAAATATTTTTTAACAAATACTTGCTAAAAGTTATTTTATGAATAGTATTATTTTAGCCATATCAAGCAAATGTTATAATTCATCAACCAGCAGTTATGGCAGGTGTAGTGTACACAGGACCACCTCCAAATAGTCATAGAGCACTGGCATGGTTAACATGTTTGTTTTGCTGCTGGCCACTTGGTGTTGCATCTATAATTAAATCCATGGAGGTTTGATTTTTTTTGTTTTAATATAATGAAAATCTAATACTAAAAATCATTATTTGGATTTTGAAAATAGTTGTTGTATTCAAGATGATCTGTTTAAATAATTAATGAATATTAAATGTTAAATTTTCTTTTCTTTTATTAACTTTTAAAATTTTAATAAACCTGCAGTTCAAGTTTTTTTTTATAAATTAATTTCTCGGAAATTAAACTTTTTTTCTTCTAAAATCATTAGGTTCATATGGGTTGAAAGCAAAATGAACTTTTGTGTCACAAATAAACTATTTTTCCAAAATCATTAGGTTTGTTTGTATTTATGTTACTTCTTATATATTGGATTATAATGAGCCCTGATGGTTATCGATGCAAAGAAAATATGATCATCTAGATTTTTATAAATTAAAACTCTAGAGTCTTGATGTACAAAATTGAATATAAAACCCAACGGGCTAAAAAGATCTCAAGGAGAAAAGTACAGGGTCAATGTTCTGTGTCATCAAATGTCATCAGATGGTGCTACAATATGGTTTAATGATTCAGTTAAGCTGAAAAATATAACCAAACAATCATGATTTAAAATCATTACAACAAACCTGTTGTCATGATTTTAAACTATTACAACTACCACTGTGATCAAAAAAAAATGTAGTAAAGGTTTTGCTTTTAAGGTTTTAGGATTTGAATCTTATACCTACAGATTAACAAATCAACTTAATATAATTATGCTTTTGACCAAAAATTTTGCTTATTTAAGAAAAATTAAAACCAGTACAAACACAAAAATAAATGCACAAACACACAAATAAATATATATATTTTAAGTAATCATGATAAAAACTACAGAGTACAAACGTACACATATACATTTACATATATATACATATATACATAGGTGAGCAACTTTATCAACTAGGTGATACTGGCTAGACAACAGCTAGATTCTGGCTGTACGAATTGCTTAAATTATGGTGGTAATGCTTCCACAAAACAAAAAATTTAATTTTAACAGATCCTGATCTTCCTGGTGGATATTAAACTTTAAATCCTGCTTTTTATGAATATTTTTTGTTTTGCGTTTTTCTCAAAGATGTGTTTTTCTGACTTTTACTTCAACTTCAAACAGTATATAAAATAATTGTGTTATAGCTCTGAAATTTTCACTGAATGTTTAGTTAATATATACCTATATCATTCACCAAAATAATAATTTAAATGTTTTTTAAGAAATAATGACCCAAAAACTGTAAGGAACCCCCTCATTCCCCGTTAGCAATGGTAAAACCCCCTCATTTATGGTCTAAAAACTATTGTCATTACAATAATTTAAAATATATTGCTAGAAGGTATTTCAATATTTTTGGTGAATGTTTTCAACTTATTAATAATGAATATTTCAGCCAAATTTATAATTTTTTTGGTGAAGCTGTTTGGTTTAGAAGGTATACATAAATTGCATCAAGTTTAGGTAAATATTGTATTAAAGAAGGACATTGCTTTTTTTTTTTTTAATAAAAGATTTAGTTTTAGTCTATTAAATATGATAAAATTTATTTTTAGTTATTAGTTATTGTGTATCCATTTCTTCTTAAAAATATAAAAACCACAAATAATCAATTTCATATTTTAAATCTTGCACTTCTGATAAATTATTGTTTAAACAAATTTAATTTAAATAGTTAAAGTGAAGGTAAAGTAAGGATAATATTTAGTGGATAAAAACATTTAGTTATTTAGTGAATAAAAAAAAAGTTGGGTTAGGAATCATTTTACAATCTCCATTAGTGGTCCTAAGTATATTAATTGTAATACTTGTTAATTATATTTAATGTACTTAAAAAATATTAAATAATTCAGAAATCAAGGGTTGTTTATTGTTATCTAAGCCATGGTCTTGTCTGACTCATAAATAAACTAAATCATCATTATCTTTTACTTAAATTGAGCATTGTTCTACAATTTTATATCTGCATCATGATATTATTCTTCAAAATAATAGTTGATTTAAATTCTTTTGCCTTTTTCTAACCAGTTCTTTATTTCAGTACAATTACTAGGCCATCACATGATTATTTTAAATGCATTATGTGAGCCAGTCAATGTTGCAGATACCATATGCCAAAAAGTCTAGAAATTTTCATCATATTCACCGAACCATTGTACACAGTGTTCTGTTTCTACAAGGTTCTACAAGTGTTTTGCCTCATATCACTACAAGGTCTTTGAAAAAATTCTTCAACAATGTCTTGTAAAACTATGCTATTTAAAACTATTAACTTTTAAACTTATTTCTTAATGATGAAATCCTAATCTATCAATCAAGATTATATTTTTTGTTGTGACTTTGTATTGACTCGAACTTTGTGTCAATATTTAACCATAATAGTCCCATACTTATCAACATTCTGTAGTTTTTTTTAAAAATGAGCTGTACAATTTAATGCTCAAATGCAGTATTTGAACATGCAAAAAAAAGTGGGTGTAATTTATTAAGGAGTAGTGCTTTATTACTCCCTCTGCAAGATTTTACAAAGAAAATCTATAAGCTACAATAAAAAAAGCTGCTAAAAAACTTGTTGTTGCTGTTAAATTATATAAGTAAAGTTTTTTTGCCAAAAACAGCAATGTTAAAATAAGCTGTAACTAAGTAAGCAGTTTGTTTGCTTATAATGCAAAGTGGAGGCTGTAAAAAATAAGTCAAAATAGCATTGGCTTCTCACTAATGGTAACAGCTTTAATCTCTTACAAGATCTGAGATTTTTTTCACATTATACCCAAGAAGGTTTACCAGCATTTGTTATGCCCAATAGTTTAAACGCTCCAATTTTTTAAATATGTCTTTTGCAAACAGTAAATGCTCTGATTTCACTAACTTCTTGTTATATACCTCTCTCCTCTCTCTTGTTTTATACCTCTCTCCTGCAAAATACCTAAATTTTCTTAACCTTCGATGTTACAGATTTTTACTGAAGATTTCCTTAGCTATTTAACAGGGTTGCAATTTTGGGTTGTTCAGTATCTCCTTTTTCTCCTTTAGGTGGTTCTGACCATGCAACAATCTCTTTAAGTCTTTCTTGTGCTTCCTTTTTGGACTCACCCTATCATCGCACAACTTACTACTTCCCTAAAGCTGACTGGGATTCTTTTCTTAATTTTTTTTGTGACGGTCCTTGGGTTGATGTCTTTTCCCTCTCAGCTGAAAAATGCGCTTGCTACGGAACCTCCTGGCCTCATGCAGGAACGGAAGCTTTTATCATCTGTTTCAAGTCAAGCCTCATTCTACTTCATGATTTTCACCCTCCTTTTCACTACCTTTTTTATCTTTTTCAAAAGAACTCTCTTGAGAACAACGGGCTATTTATCTTAGCAAGAAATTGATGTAAAAAGGTGCTGTCAGATGCTAAGCTCCATTATTCTCAGTTCACTAAATTTTGAATCTTATCTCAGAAGTTAGGCTTTAGAGACTTTTAGAAAATCTTTAACAGAACTGTTAACAAGATTAGGTCTAACATTCATATCTCAGATTACCTCTCCCAGGGATAAGGCGCAACTATTTGCAATTGACTTTTGTTCTAATTCAACTATTGAATCTTCTAATTCAACTATTGAATGGCCATTCTCTTCCTTCCATTCCAATTAAACAGTTTAACCCATTGTTAGACATTCAAATAACCCCAGCTTCCGTTGCTAAAGTCATATCTTGATTAAACTATTCTACAGCTTGTGGTCCAGGCAACAATCCTGCCATAGTCTTACAAAATTGTTCTTCAGAACTCTCTTCGATTTTCTCTAAATTATTTTATGAGTGCTTGAATGAGTCTTGTTTTCATGCCTGCTGTTCCAATTTTCAAAAACTGGGATAAACATTCTGACCCCTCCAATTATCGACTGATCAGTCTTCTTTCTGTTATTAGCAAGTCTTTAAGTCTTCGATAAATAACTTTCTCACATGCCATATTGAGTCAAATAACTTACTTTAATACATTCTCACATCCTATCTTGAGTCAAATAACTTACTTTTCGTTACTCTACGACTGACTTGCTAACTGCTGTGACTGAAAGATTTTATTCTGCATTAAATGTTGGAGAAGCTAGGGCTATTGCTCTTGACAAATCTAAGGCTTTTGACAAAGTTTGGTATGCTGATTTTCTCCATAAGATTGTTTCATATGGTGTACCTGGGAAAGATTTTAAGATAATCAAATCATTTTTTTCTAACCGTTTTATTAAAGTCATCAAAAAGTCTTCTCATTTTGATTGATTAGAAAAGGCAGCCTTACTTAAATCTAATCTCACTTCTGTAACAGATTGGGCTCACAGTAGCTTGTAAATTTTAACTCCAACAAAACTCAGTTATTTACTGCAAACAACTATCGCAGTACTGTCAACATCCCTATATTAATGAATGGCAACCCTCTCACTGAGTCCTCTTCATTATGTCTTCTTGGATTATTGTTTATTATTAACCTTTAATGGAAACCATATATACAATCAATTGCTAAATTAACATCTGCTAAGGTTGCTTCTCTTTATTGTGCTTGCCATTTTTCTCTCTCCTGATTCCATTTGCTACCTCTAAAAATCTTTTATTCGTCACTGTTCAGAATACTCTCCCATCTTCATGTTTTCCTGACTCATACAACCTTCAACTTTTTAAGTCTTCTGTAAACGTTTCCTAGCTCTATAACTTTATTATTTTTTCTAGTAACTTACAACTGTATAATGGATGCTTGCAGCCTTGTTGGGAGTGAATCAGAATAGTAATAAAAATTTTGTTAAAATCATACTTTGTAAGGCTTAACACTTGTCTCTACCAAGTTTTACTTCATTCCAGCAACTGTAGTCATCATCAAAAAGATTTTTAATTAACCTATATGCAATTTTAATATTTATTTAGAATTGATAGTTTTTCTTAATTAACATAATTTTTCTTAATTGACATAATGGAGCTTGACTAAGAAGTTGGACATCTGATATCAAACTACGCACATAAGTTTTGCTGCAACAATAACAACAAATAAAATAATTTTTCAAAAATTTTGTTCATTTGAAAAGTGCTAGTCCATTAACTGATGCTTCTTATGGTAGTATAATTTTTATTTTCATAAGAAATTACTGGAACATCTGGAAGTTATTACTTATATTGTATATTCCTTTATTAAGAACAGATGTTGCTCAACTAACAATGATTTATAGTTTTGTCAAAATATTTGTCTATTTAATGAAATATTTAGTAAAATTTTGAGTTTACATGCACTATTAAAGACTAAAATCTTCAGAGAAAATGACAAGCCTTTTGTCACTAAACCATTTAGAAAAGCAGTTACGCTTCGTTCATACAAAAAACAAATATCAAGCTGATAAATCTGAAATTTCTTTCTTATTATATAAAAAACAAAGAAGTATTGTGGTTAACCTTAATCGGAAAATTAAGCGAGCGTATTTTGAATGCATCAATTTGCACACGACAACCAATACCTCGCTTTGGAGATTATGTTAACCATTTCTTTCAAGTAAGTCTGGCCATTCTAATGATTTAATAATTCCTCTTCCTGTGTTAATAATGATGGCGAGGTCTCTTAACATTCGAAAATTTTGCAATACTCTGTTAAGACGGCTGTTGAGAGTTATTTAAACCATCCGAGTATCAAAATTATAAAGAACAAATTTAAAATGATATCTCTGAGTTTTAAATTTCATAAAATTACACCAAAAGATATTTCCAAAATTATTGATTCAATGAAAATTAATTAGGAAACTAGCGGTGACATACCAACATATATGTTAAGGTCCTATGATAAGTTTTTCAGAGAAAGTTTTGCAAAATGTATAAATAAAAGTATTTCTGATGGGATATTTCCTTCCTTTTTAAAAATGATTGATGTCATACCTTGTTTTATGAAAGATGATCCAACGGACAAGTCTAATTATCGACTAATAAGTATCCTTCCAGCACTTTCAAAAGTATTTGAGCTTATTATATTTGAGCAAATACGGGCATTTATTGAGTCTAGATTGAACATTCTGCTGCGTGGCTTTCGTAAAAGTTATAGCACTCAGCATGCGCTTTTTGTTTTACTGAAAAAATGGCAGTAATGCTTGCATAAAAGAAGTATTATTGGGTTCATGCTTATGGATCTTTCAAAAGCTTACGACCTGATCCCTCATGATTTATTAATAGCTAAATTGGAAGCTTATGGCTTTTCTCATGAAAGCTTTAAACCTTTACTATCATACATAAGCAATCGTAAACAAAGAGTTAAATTGGGTTCATCATTTTCTTAGTGGTTAGGAGTTTCATTAGTTTTTAATGGTTGGCGTAAGTGCTTTGCCCTTTCTCGTATAAGAAATTCTCTATTATAAACAAGCAACTTTATTATTTAACGCTTACATTTTATCATATTTTTCATACTGCCACATGTGCTAGGCCAGGTGGTTTGAGCATGTAGAACGAAATGATGAGATGATAAGATATTAACATGTACAGTTTTTTCAGAGAAAAAAAAATGTAGAAGTATGTAAACTTGAAGGAAATGCGTTACAGATGACATGAAAGCTTCAGTTAAGAAAAGTATATGGTCAAGATTGTGTATATTGGAGATACGGCGTTATTTAAATCTTATCATTTACGTTTATACGTAAATGATGTTCACCCAAATTCATTGTTGCAAGTTATCGAATTAAATCTACTAAAAATGTATACAGTCTTTCTTTGTTTACATTCTTTCTACAAATTGCTAAACCTTTTAAACATTCTTGTTTCTGTTGCTGAAAAAGATTTTTCAGTAAGCTTGCAGTAATCAACACACTGCTAGGGTCTAAAAAGAGTCAATCCCGTCTTTTTTTGTGTGTGTGTGTGTTTTATTCTTATTTTTATATTTGTCCCTTTTTTTTAAATATTTTTTTAAATGTATTTCTCCATCTTATATAAATTTATTAAGACTATTCAACAACTCTACACCTTTTTTTCAAACACCTTTAGAATGCTTTTTACGTATTCGAAAAAAACGCAATTAAAATTAATAGCTAAAGTTCTTTATAAAACGTTTTTTGAAACAAATGATTTTTATGAATTTCTTCATAATTCTTTACAAACATTTATTCAATAACGTTTATAGGCATCAAACATAGTTTATTTTGTATAAAGTCTTTGAATTTTTTTACTTTAAGGCGTTAAAAAAAAAACTGTAAGTTTTACAATGACAACATATTGTCTCATAATTGTTTTTTTCAACTTTGCTATTTTAAACATTTTTTTCTTAGGTTGACACTGCTATAGCCCAAAATAATTTAACTAGGGCTCAGATGGCATCGGAATCAGCAAAAAAATTTGGTTTTGCCTCATTGGGTTGCGGAATTTTTATGCATTTAATATGGATTATCTACTTAATAATTTATTTTGTTATTTTTGTACCTAATTTTTACAGTGTACGTCGATACTAAATATAAAATAACAATAACAACAGCACACTAAGTTTGAAATGTTTTGTTTTATCATTTTTAACCAGATTGTTGTAAAAAAGCATTAATGTCATAAATCATCGTTATATAAATAATTATTTTTGTTAACAATTTTTTTTTTTTAATTTTGTGATATTAACATTTTTCTTAACTTTTGCTTGAATATTTCACTGTTGTTTTTTAACATTTTTAAGTTAATTTTTATAAACTTATCACTGTTTAAAGTTTAATAAACTTATTATCGCTCTTTTATGATCATGTGTATTTGCTTTGATATAATAAAAGTTGTTTTTAGTTTTGATTTACTACAATTCCACGTTCATTTTACGTCAGTTTATCCGGGTTGAAAAAGCATTACGGTTTTATTGTCTACGATTTAGTCTGTGTGGGTTTTTCAGAATATTTGGATTACCATATACGATTAAATTGTTTTCGATATGACTAATTAGGATCATAGGAATATTAGATCTAATTCGGATTGCAATTTTTGATTTTTTATCTTATAAATTCTTTCCATTATTAAATTATTCTCGTCTAATTAAGTTTTACATTTTGTTAAAGAATAAATAGATATATGATATCTTATATAAAATAGATAACTTTAAAGCATGAAGTAAACTTTGAAAATAAACTAGTGATTGGATCCTGGAGACAAAATCTTGTTGTCCCCCAACTCCTAATGTTACAGCGGCTAAACTTTTATTTGCTAACCTTTACTAAATGTAGTAATTATTCCTAATACTAATTATTTTTAACTTTTCTTTAAAACAAGGAATATTTCCAGAAAATTTTAATACTGCTGGAGTTATACCGGTTTTTAAATTAGGTTTTCAAATTCTTCTAATATTTCTAATTATAGGCCTCCATGCTCCCTTGCCTCTTTAAAATACTGAAACGAATAATATATAAAAGACTATTCTCTTTTTTATATAATAAAATATTATTTTAAATAATAAACAATTTGGGTTCGAAAAAGATCTTTCAATTGACCATTCTATTTTTAAAATTGTTCGTGATATTTTTCAAGCGTTTGAGAAAAAAAAAGTACCGTAACTCAGCACAACTGTGGTTAACAGCACAACCAAAGTCAAAGATATTTTACTCTCTAGCTGTTTAAAATTTGAACTACAACTGCAAAACACCTTTGAAGTCAGTTGTGTAATCTAGTTTTAATACGAAAAAAGTCATTTTAACGAGATTTCTTTCTGCACAAGTAGTTTTACTTAAACATAGAAAAAAGCTACCCTAATAATTTCTTGCAAATTTGATCAGTTAAGCAGATCAGAATCGGATCCTAAAGCGAGTTAATGACAAAACGTGCTCATCATAATATTAGTTTGAAGCATTCTATGTTTTAATGCAATTGTCGGTATAAATGAATAAAAAATTTCCAATTTTGTAAATAAATTACTATTTTAGACGAAATATGGGATAACTTTGCACAATGTGCAAAGTTTTTCCTAACTGTCTTTAGTCATCTAAAAACAATACTTTTTAAAACTTGAAATAAATTGTATATACAAGCAAAGTTATTGCATATGTTTTTAATGTTTTCATTAATTTTTTTGCTAAACAAAAATAACATTCATATTTTTTCCAGATGTCGTTACAAAGCAAGAAAATATACAAATAATGACCTATCTAAATGTCTTGAAGAGGTAAAATGTAAAAAGCTGACATAAAAGCAACCTGCTGCTAATTAGGACATTAGTCGAAGAACGATTTGTTACAAATTGAAACCTGGTAAAACATTTTTGTTTTCAAATTAAATGAGGCTGCTTTTGTGAAATGAACCATTCAATTAAACAATTTTGGATTTCCAATCGTTAAAGAAGACTAACGTCATATGAATAATTATCTATTTATTTCATGAAAAAAAGTTAGAAAAATCCCGGTTAACTTAGGTCATAATTTAGACACTCGTGAAAAATACTTCTTAAATGGTTAAAAAGAATTCTACTAATAACAGTTTTTAGATTTTTTTTTTTATATGTATTTATATTTGCCGTTAGTTAAAATAACAAAAAGAAATTACAATTAAATAAAAACCTGGCAAGAGCAAGAAGAAGACAAATTGTCATTCGCCAAGCCCCCGTTACATTCTCAGTGTAGTTATGGAGAGATTTGCATTTCTTAAAACCAAAAATTTACTTTTTTATCAATTTTTTGTGTTTTCCGCTTATTTTTGACTATTACTGTTATATAATTTTAAAAAGTAGAATTCAAGCTTTTCTTACATAATATATAATTTTTTTATAAATCTTTTTTTAACCTAAGCATCAAGCAAAACAAAACTACCAATAAAATACATAAAATGCGACGGGGCAGCGTCATAAAAACAGCCCCACCATCCATGGCGTCCCCCTCCCCCGCCAAATCATAAGTTGTATATCTACATGTTATATATAATTAATAACTATAAAACCATTTAGCGTTATCGCTTCATGTGCAAATTCATGATCCTTCAATTTCTCACAATACAATTGAAGCATCATTTATATCAGGGGCGAATTCAAAAATATTTTAGGGAAAGACAGAAAAATATTTTTGACTTTTTAACAAATACTCGCGTGAATTAGTTTTTCTCATGTTGTTTACTTTTACTAAATGATAGTGTAAACTAGACCCAAAAGAAACTTTACTTCGTCCAAGATTGAAGTTTGAAAAAAGTGATTAGGAAAAATCTGAGTTAGGCCCCCCACCTCCCTAAACCCGCCCCTGATTTATATCACAAAATTAATAACAAACGGATTTGATACTTCTTATTTTTGATTCCAAAAGCGTGTCATGGAGATTCTTTAAAGAATCTCTGTGACAATTATGCATTTCAAAATGCAAAATTGTGTGTTTTTGTTTAAATTAAATTATTAAATTGCTTCTATTCGAAGGAAGTTCCATTGGAACTTAATGCACGGATGACGCTACAAAGAACAATGGAAAATCTTGCTCTAATTATATTTTAAAGTAAAATACATAATTGTTTTAAAATTTAATGTTTTTAAATAATTTTTGTTAAGGTACTTTAAGGTACCTTAACAAAAAAAACGCGATTTTAAATTTGTGTTTTAATTTATTTCTTACAACATTTTATTTATAGTGCTTTTTTGCATCAACGTAGAAATATAAAGAAGACTAAAAAAATAAAAAATTAATATCTAAAAAAAACCTTTTAAAGACAACAATTTAAAAATGGACTAAAAAGTAAAAAATGACATTTATTTCGCCTGTGTGTAGATATACAGTAGAATCCGTTAAGGTGATACTAGCCCATAAAAATTAAAACAGTCAATTTATTTAATTTTGATAAAAAAATGCTGAGTCAGCAAAAAATATGCAATTTTAATTTCATTTTTAACAAGGATTTTTCGCAAAAAGGTTAACAACATGTTGATTGAGGGATTGACCAGAATCACCATCAAAACTTTTACAGAATCAAAATGGCTGCACTTTAAAAAAAAAAAATTTTTTATGTAAAATTTGTGCTCCCAATGTCAATATCTCGACAACAGCTAACTATAAGATATTCTTGTTCAAAGTATAAAAATCTGTTAACAGAGAAAACGCAAGAAAACAACTTTAACAATATATATCTTTATAAATTTCCAGATACATAGAAGTCATCCTTGCTAAATCCTTTTCTTATACCTCTCAATTTTTTCTTCCTTGATTTTGTTACTTCTTTTTCCTTCCTTTCCATGTGAATGATGCGATTGTTGTCCTTTTTAATTGCACCTTGAAGGTAATATTTTCCACAATGAAATCCAAGTTGATGAAATGTTTCGTTATGCGAAACGCAACATCCATTAAAAGATATAACTGCTGAGCAAACAGCTAACTCTAAAACACTTTTTGAAACAAATTTTTTGGGCATTTTTTCCAGATTATTTGATTAAAAATCTCATTAGGATTTTGGGTATAGCTGTGTATATAATTTGACGAAAGATTGTCAGAACAAATTTTGATGTAAAAATTGAGCAAAAGTTTACTACTCTAAAATGCCTTTTTTTTTCCCAAACGATCCCCCTCAAAATCACGGTACGGGCCTGCCTTGAGAGTCCGAGTTAACAAAATTTTACTGTTTATATAGTCATTAAATGTACTATGTTACTACAGTGATTGCATTGTACATTGTGCAGGTTGCTATAGAAGCATTTTCCGAAACTTCCCAGCAAGCGAATTCTTCAGTGTCTAATGAACATAAGATGGCCACTACAAAATCTGACTCAACATTATGTAAGTCTAGGAGAAAGTCTAGCGGTGCCAAAAGAAGATAAGAAAAGAAGAAGCGTAATTTGCTTCAATCAGGCCATGATCCTAAACAACGCAAGCAGCTATTTAATAATGAACATATTATCAATGTTGTTGAAGAAGCATCTGTTTCCGCGTCAAACCCAGTGTTAATTAAGAAAAATGCTTTTTTGTGGAATATAATACCTAACGTAATCATTAAAGCAAGTACCGTGTCAAATACAGTATCCTCCAGTCCCCAACAAGATAAGCAATCAGATTTTATCATTAGCAAATCGCCCGTAAAAACTATAACAGACTGTACGTCAGAACTCGGTGCAGATGTTACCGAAGAAAGTATTTATGATGTGTATATAGAACTAACAAAAGATGATGCTAACTCAAGTATTTTCAACCATAAACATCACCGAAATAACAAAATTGATTTATAAACGGCTTCCTGACAGTGCACAGCGTAACTAAAGAATAGCATTAGTAAATAATAACATGATTCAGCCGAACCATACAGATGTAAAGCATTTACCGTATGATCCAAAAAGAGTGTACCAAAGATTGATATCAGATAATAAGTATGTACAAAAACGTTGAATAACCGCAAGAGTTGAAGACAATCAAATCGTGGCACTTTACTGCAATGCATGCATAGCATATTTGAAAGAAGATTCTAGTTTTACTCTTGGATTTAAAAAGTTCTTCCATATATACCAAAGAATTAAAGACCATGAAGAATCTAAATCACATAACTCTTCTGTAATTGCACTATTAAGTTGTACAACAGAGAAAAATATAAGCTCTTTAATCAAGAAAGGTATAGTGGAAAATTAAAGTGGAAAAGCAGAAAGCACAAGTATTGAAAAACATCGAAGTATTTAAACAAATTTTTGCAGCAGTTATTTTTATTGGGAACATAGCTCTTCCATACAGAGGTAATCGGGGTGAATCTCTCTACAGTTTACACGATAAAATTATTGATGACGGAAACTTTTTGGAACTAATATTGCTGATAGTTTAACGGTACTCTTAATAATCATATAGAAAAAGCTATTCAGGCAG